GGTAAGTATAACTCCCGTTAGGAACAGATCACATGAGGTTGGAACGCCATAGTGATGTGGAAAAAGTGAATTGAGCCCCGATCGAGCTCACTAGTCCAGTTGGTGATATTTGGGCGAGCTGTTTGCTGGTGGCTTTTCAGTTTGGAAGATCAAGCAGGTGTCTTCCAACTTGTCTATGTAATGTTTTATCAATTAAAACACTATGCTTGTTGGCATGATGACGGTTGTCGAACACGCCTGAACAACTTCCTTGGCCGCTCATCCATCCGGCCGAAAGTGGAAGGGCAATTGAGGGGGTACTGATTTGTGTTTTCTTGACGAATTTTGCGCTCGTGAGCACCCCGTGTCCCTTCTAAACCCCTCTAGAATCCATCGTAATCGCTGCCTTTGAAGGCGAAATTTGCGATTAGAAGGCAACCCATCAGAGATCAAGGTAAGTGGTCAGTGATGCAGGGACGAAGAAAAAACAAAACGGCCTTAAACCCGAGTTATGCAACTTTTTCTGCGCGTAGATATGTGCGTTAGGCGTTTATCAGCGGTGGTGACCTCATCCACGCTATCGTTCCCTCTGCTAGAGCTAGAATCAAACGGCGAGGGGGTGGGGTAGCGGCACGGGCGGCGGCACCCTGCTAGGTCGCTGAGGGCGTACTCTTTTGCTACGTAACCCGCACCCTCAGTAGACCTGCCTGCCTCTCTACCAGGTATATTCACCTTCTAACACCTCTGCCGAGATATCCACATTTAAGACGAGCGAAGGCGCTCAAAAGCGCGTTCTTGAGAGCCTTAGATAGAGCCTTACCATTACCACGCAACCTGCTGAGAAGCTGAAGATAAAACTAAAGGATCGAAATAGTCCCTGTACATCGTGATCGCTGAGCGTGACATACTGCTCCGAAAAGGCAACGCAAAACGCAGTATTGAGACACTTTTCTACAGCCCCTTTCTCTCAGCGTCCCTGCTGAGTCAACCAATACATTCCAATGAAATGACATTCCCAGGCTCCCACACCAGCCACACTCACAAATTTCCATCGAGCAGGTACTCGCAATGAACTCGTGGGGCAACGAGTTTCACATAGTATACCTTCTCCTCGACGCACCATTTACTGTCGCATTATAATGATGGACAATCCCACATCCTACCCATCACACTCATCTGTCCCAAAGGAGGTCATCCATCCCCACTCAAGGATTACGAAAAAAATTGAATATACACACAAACTCTCAACTTGCTATGAAAATAACCAAACATCCAAAATAGATGAATAATCTCACCCATGCCTTCCATTCTTATTGACACTCCAGCAATCATCGCCTCTGGCACGTCATCCAAATCAACCGAGTGCAGCGATAAACTCGATATAACATCTGAATAAACTCACTACAGGCTAACTAGAAAAAATAATAACTTTTAAGAAATTACAGTCTACGGAGTGGTATCTCTTCCAAGAATCTTATCTCAAGCCAAAACCCGGCTATGTCCTTCTTCTACCGCATCACTTTCTTATCATTACTCAGAGATCAAACCTACCCTTCAATTACACGCATTTGCAGATCTTTCCACCCTATTTTTCGGTAACTATCCTCACTGTACTTTGCAGTAATCCATTACTCAGAGATATCTAAACAAGCTATGAAACGTGCTTTTCAAAGCATACATAAGGAGCAACGTAATTTTGAGAGAGAAGGTTAAACATTCACTATTAAATTCTTCCCTGATTTTCAGAGACACTAAATTGCACGCTTTGGCAAAACTATTTCGCAACCCCCGTTGGAGATGGTACAGTGGTTTCTGTGAAGGATAACTCAACGACCTCCAAAATAAAGGTTTTTTCATGACAGTGACAAACACCCAAATAGTGCAGTTGATAAAGCAATAAACACCAGTTCTCCTCCACAAAAGGACAACTAACAAAATTTTACAACTTGAAAAATGATTGTTAAATAGAACCAGATGCACATAGTAGGCGTAAAAAGGATCCACCAAATTGGTCTTTCGAGCATTTCAATTTTTTCCTTGACAAAAGCTCAACTCAAAAAAGCTAAACTGAAGATATTTCCCTTCAGAATATCCAAATCCTCGCAAACGAAGAACTCAAAAAGACTAAAATACAAAATACTAATATTTCGAGCAAGTTACTCGATGAAAAAATGGCGCTTGAAAAGCCGTTAGGGGTGGATACTTTACCGCTACTTCACCTACAGGACGTTTCGATTCCAAGCGGTGCTACTGTCGCCAAGTCAAATATCGAATAGATCAACTTTGGAAAATGATTTTATTGAGACCGGTTTTATGAGTTTCAAAAAATCCTTGTTTGCTAAACACCCACTTCTTATCAAGTAGCGCCCCTAATGTCTCTAGTTGAGACCCCTGACGAATCCAACTCCGAATTCTGCATGCAACATTATTTACCAATCCAGTTTTTTAATGAACACCCTTACTCGATCGATACATTTGAATCAATCAATGATTTGACAAACTCATAAGGATTAAATGAGAGGTTGCTGGCTTGACTTACATAGATCAGAATTCTGGACATAATTCACAGGAACTCCTCTATACATTCTCTATGAACAGATTCTTCAACGGAGCATAGTCACAGAACGGTAGAGAATTCCAGAAACTGTCATTCACTGGAGAAAGTCTTGCAGAGAATTCATCGATGTCGACGATGATCACGCGAACTTCACAGGGTAGGAGTCAGCGGAACATTTGGTAGGGTGACGGTGCGAGGAAAGGCTATGATGACAGGCTATTGGCAACCAGACCACCACTAGACCAGAACCAGTTATGCTCGCGTGGCCTCTGTGAATAGGAATAGCATCACCATTGTTCAATCGTATATGATAGCGAGTTTTTAGAGCAGAAAATGGCGCTAGGTACTGAAATCAATGACTTTTTCGGAAGCCATTGATTTCAGTCCCTAGCAAAAGTGAAAGTTGTGTGATTGGGATGGTGGGGGGGGGGATATGGCATCAAGATTAGACTAGATGAAAATTTCCATGAATGGTCGCCTCGTACCAAAATAGATGTGTCATGGAGAGTTACGAAATGCTAACGGGCTGTACAAATCGAAAAGATGTCATTACAATGGAAATGTTGAAATTCTAGAAAAAAACCCAGACATTGATGAGAACCCTACTCAGCAATTTCCACTGAAACGGAGGGAGGGCAGGGACGGGGAGGTAGGTTGAGGGGGGGGGGGGGGGAAGCTCGTACTTACCCCAATACCCTAACCCATTCGGATAAGCCGTGTATGTGCCTCTAACTTAAAGCCACAAGAACTTTTTGGGAAGTTAGATAACCCTCACAAATTTACACCAGAAATCAAGCCAGGAATGGGAGAGGGAACGTGAAAAGCAAGACGGGCCCGAGGCGGAGCTACTCTACCCACGCATGGAGATAATTACGAAGGTTGCTATGACACGTAGCAAACACACCCTAGGAAGCAGCTAGCACTCTTACGAATCGCAGTCCAAAACACGATTTCATATCGAGAGAAACGAAACCAAGATTATCAACGCTTTCTAGCAGATTAATCAAGTCAGATAAGTCGTGTACACGACGCCAGACTTTGCGCTTTCCATACGTTTACATCCGCGGTGTAGATTCATGGAAAAAATATCGATCCATAATCCCTAGTCTTCTCCACCACAAACATCTAATTGATCCCTATTTCTCGCCAATCCGGATAAATCTATTGATTTCAAGGTCGACAGCAGTCCTTACCTCCAAGAAATGATCCAGGAAGCTTACGATCGATGTCGAACGCTACGTAGAAAGACAAGTCCTTTCAGCAATACGAATGTGAATAACTGGGAACTGTGCAAATATTGGCAGAGTCGCTATTGCGATAAGCTGTAGCAAATTGAATAAGAAATGCCCATCAATACTACCAATCAATGATTTCGAGTATTTATAATCAATCACCAGAAGCACTGGAAATTTCCATATGAGCTTCTACAGGAAAAATGAAGGAAGAGTGCAATCTAGCCGTTACGCGCAATCCAACTAGTGAAACGAAGCCTTATCGAGATCTCACGGGATTCATAAAAACGTCGTTTGTCACCTTAGCTACTCCTTTTGGCAAAAGAATTAAAGAAGCCTCAATCAGACAATTTTAGCAGATACTTATCAGAATTCTACGTTGCAATACCACTAAATGAGATGCGGCGCTATTGAACTCATTAAGTGGTTTCCGGATATTATATCTATTATTCATATAGAGTTTGTAGGCATCGTGAGTAAAAGCTGACATACTAACGTGCTGAGAGAAAGCTTCCACGAAAATGCAGTTGTTTCCGTCAATTAAACCAATATAAGGAAAGCAGTGGCAAGAATAAAGAGAAATTCTATCGATTAGTTAACTCTAAAACCAGATGATCGTCGGAGAAGATTTCTTATGTAACTCCCAAAACAAGCTTAAAACACTCGAGCTTTACTTGTAGAGGCTCAACATTTATTTCTCTTAAAGTCAATATGCCGTTTACTCCTCAGATTTTGTAGAGGCAGGGATAGCCGAGTGGTTAAGAGGTTAGACTCATGTCTGCACCTCCGAAAACCGCGAGTTCGATCCCTGCCGAGGTTAACCATGCCTTGCAAAAATTGCAAAAATGGTTCTAGTACCAGCGTCAGGCCCAGGTTGACAGGCCGGCTGATGAACACCCCAGTCACAACAAATATGTCTAAAGTCGCAAAAGGAATCAGTGATTGTGTGACTGAATAATGCGATTACATGGATCGTTTGATTGTATGTAATTGTGGTTGTGATTTTTATGTCTGCTTTCGAGCAGCGTCTCAAACAAACAAGTAATAAACAAATACAGTTTGAGGCAAAAGGAAACGAGCGTCACCCAACTCAGCTGGGTCAGCATAGAATGCTCTTTCGTTAGAATAAAGGGTATAATGGGGCGGAAGTGGTGTAGTGACAAGTGGCGCGCTCACCACGCGAGCGGTCCGGGATCAAATCCTGGGTCGTGAGTCGCCCGGGCCAACCAAGCCTTCCATCCCTCCGGGGTCGGTTAATTGGTACCAGACTTGTCTGGGAGGATAAAAACACTGACTTGAACATCGGCTGGCCCCCGCAAGTCATTGTATAGGCCACATCGCATTCAAATGCCACTGCGAATGTACAAATGGAAGTAGAATGCGTGCCGCATCCCAAAAAGGGATTGATCAACGGCAAATGCTTTATCCTTTTATTTTATCTTTCTATTGTCATAGCGTGCACAGGCAGGTAGCTGCAGGTACAGATAGAACGACGTATAAAATGGCAATGCTCGGATAACTCTTTAATCGTATCGAATTTGAATATGGAAATCTAAAAAGCAAAAGAGGTGGAACGCTGAGAAATTGCGTGAGAGAACTCACATGTTAAGTTTACTGACAGAGCCTACCGCTCACGGCATATTCAAACTTCAGTAGCGATTTTTTCATTTTGAAGGGGAAATGATGTTAATTTGCGATATGAGCAGGTAATTTTGAAGAATTCCTCTGAAGGAAGCAGTAAAAAAAAATTTCACGGTTGGAGACAAATTTATGAATTTTAGGAATTTTGCCTTTTTATCCGTTTCCGAGAAAGAAGGTGATACAAGTATTTCATTGAAAAAAGCCTTCGTGTCATAATTGGACAACTTCAGTGACACAAAATGCTATCTACGCAACCTATTTGCAAAAACGTTAGTTCCATAATTCCTGAGTTTAATACATATTGCCCAGATCTTCAGTCGCTGTCAATACATTTCAATGTTTTACAACTCAAAAATTCACTGCAAATCCTCTTGAGAGGAAAGTTCCTGTTCCCACATTTGGAGAGATGCCAATTTGTAAAGCTCGAAATATTGATTTTATCCAGGTTGATGAGCACTTCTCAACAGGCAAGAAAAAACTAAAGTTTTCCTTCTTTGCTCGATAACACTTCTACATATATGTACATACCTTTACAATATGTAAATAATGGAAGAGAAAAAAGGGCCAGAATTACCGTATTCCAAAACCATCTCCCACCGAGAAATTTCACTTATCCCATAAAGTGAAGGCGTTGAGCGCTACCTTTTCGTGATTTACAGTGAGATCATGATTTTAGGAAAGAATAGCGCTAAACATCTCTGTATTTATATGACTAGCTTTCACCTGGCTTACACACGAGGTCTGAACAAGTAGAGAAAAATAGATAAGAACTAGAAGATTCATTGTGTAATCGAAGAAAAGATCTACCACCACAACAATGCACAAGAGCGCTCAGAAATAAGAGCCGCTTTCTATTTCAACAGAGAAAATCCGAATCACAGCGATATTTGAATGCCTCTAGACCAGCCCATAGAATGACATGGGCCAGTCATCTTCAAGTGGGTGTTTTTATTCCCTC